ATCAAAGGTAATGTTACCAACTTTTCTGCTTGAATTATCAATGTTATTACAAAATCATTATCATCTTCTCATAAATAATTTTGTTGTTGTTTGTTAATGGTTTTAGACTCATTGTTAATGATATAATGTAATGTTATCAACCTTGATGTAATGTAATTGTTATTAGCATTAACAATAATGAAAATTTTAAATATTAACATTTTTAGGCTCAACGTTAACAATCTGATACAATATTATCAATGCTAATGAGATGTATCATTAACAAAATACAAAATCATTATTAATGCTATATTAATAATTATTTACTTATGAAAATATTGCTAATGGTATATCGTCATTTTTTTTCCGTAAATCATATAAATTTAACATTTACCAATAATTCAAAGATTAAGAGTCCATTGCTAACAATCTTATGTTCTCTTATCAATGTTTCTGGGATGCATCATTAATATTTAACAAAACAAATGATTAGTATTAATATTAAACTATTATTTACAATATTAGCAACATAAAAAATCATTGAAAATGTTAATAATCACCTGTTATTAACTTTTCTTAATACACCCGTCAATAAAATACTATGAGTTATTATCAATATCATGCACTATAATTATCAACACTTTAGCGACGTATCAGTAACGCTATGCATAACCATTGTTATGATACGTAAATAATAAATGATGAACGTTCGCAGGACGTGGGCTCCGTCAGGATAGCGGCGGGATGGCGGCGTGAAGGGCGACACTCTGTGTTGTCAGGATGCTGGTGACGGTTTGTTTCAGGAGGTTATGAATTACTCGCTGTCAGCGGCGGCTAGGCCCGGGTTCGACGAGGGGACGACGGTGTCGTTCGATGATGCATTTGGTGGTGGAGGAAAGGGGCCGCCGATGATGCATTTGGTGGTGGAGGAAAGGGGTCTCCGCGGTGGCGGGGATGGCGGAGGAGGTGGAGGATGGAATAATGGAGGGATGGCGGTGGAGTGATCTGGTCACTTTTGGCGGACGGCAGGATATGGAAAAATATGTTAGGTTTTTATTTCTCTTTCTATTAACTATTATTTCCCCCCTTAATACCTAGTTTACCCTTACTAACTACCTAACTAATAACCTACCATAAACAAACTAAAATTATTTTAGCCAATAGAAAAGCTTTAAGCATATGCTTAAGTTTTTAGGCTTAAGCACCGGATCTGACCCGGATGGTTTGGGATTCTAAAGCGAGGAGGTTGTTTCTCCAACGGCAGGACTGAATCTTTCGTGATCTTTAGTCGGTTACGAGACCGGTACCAGGAGATTCCGAATCCGAAACGCAAGTTCGAACGTCTCTCTCCGTAACGGCCTTACCATTGGCTGCCGTCTAAGCGGTCAGGTGGGCTTACCATACTCAGTGGTGGCCGGAGATCCACCGCCGGCCAGAACCAGGAAGAAATTCTAGATAGTCCATCGCCGCATCTCTTACTGTTACAGCTCGCCCCACCTCGGGGTCTAAGCTGTAACGACATGGATGAGCCAAACGCAGCAACATCTTTTGTATACTGCTTACAGGCAGATCGGGGGCAGGGTTCAGTTTCTTTGCCCCTATCAAGATTGCATACTGATGTCAGGAGAATCTGACATATAGTTTTGTTGAGCCGACTCCAATTCACCGGCGAGTTTAGGGATGCGTTATCCGTCTTGGATGCATGAATGACGTAGTGGGGGAAAGAGATTTGACAAATGGATTGCCATGATTTGTAGTAGATGTTGATGTTACTAAACGGTATATGATCACGATTGAACTTCTCCCAATAATTTGAGTTATTGGGAGTAACTGGTTATTGACATGGTATCACTGTATCAGAGTCTTCTATGACCGTGAGGTCTTCTGTTCGATTCCCGGTGACTCCATTTGTTTCTGTTAAGCACACGGTGTCCGGACCTATGTCTGTCTACACTCCAAACCTCAATCTACAATTGAAACTCTCCCAACAACTCGAGTTATTGGATAGGTTATGTACTTATGTTAGGGATGGTGTCACCGATTTTGATGTTGTAGTCAGCGGCGGATCTAGGGGGGGCCGCCCCCGGGCCGCGGCCCAGCCCTCCCTCGATCCAGAGCTAGTATAGCACGTGTAAATTTTTTATTTTTGGTGTTCGTTAGGTGTTCGTTCCAGTGTTTGTCGTGTTACGGCCCAGCCTTCTCTACTTTTTTCCAATGTGGCCCAGTGCTCTACCCAATCCTGGATCCGCCGCTGGTTGTAGTCACCGTATTTGGGCTCCCCCGATGAAGCAATTGGGAGGCAGCTCCTTTGCCGATGCCCGATACGCAGGAGCAATTGAATATTTCCTTTTTATTTTGATCCAAGTAAATGATAGTATTTGTAGTGAAATTCTTTCACTTTTATTCATTCTGGTCTTTTCATTGTCCCAATTTGATTTAAAAGGCTTTGTTGATTTTCGTAGATGTGATGCCTCTATGTTACTAGATGTTGTTGAGATGGAGAAACATGTCTTGGTGTCATTTCTTATGTTGATATTCTTGTTCTTGCAGAGAGGGAAACAACCGTTCAAGTAACTATTTCGAGTTTGTTTTCAATTACTATCACGTTTGAGTCGATTTTACGGTTGAACCTATTATTGGGATATGTAAAGTGGTTGCCCTTTCTATCCATTGTATACTCGTAAGAAAGACAGTATCAGAGCTTACGAAGGTAATGTGACATTCGAGCTTTCTACCCATTGATTATCTGATTGAGTTTCTTTTTCCCCTTCAAGTTTAGTTTCTGCTTTGACGACTAAGCAATTTAGGTTGAGTTGGATTGCCCTCACAACATGTATAATTACTTTCGTTAAGTTTAGTTTCTGCTTTGATGACTCGACAATTTAGGTTGAGTTGAATTGCCCTCACAACATGCGTATAATTACTTTCTTTAAGTTTTTGGATGGAGACGACAACGGTGCAATGAAATTGGGACTTAACTACGTTAGTTCCAACAACAAAAAATAAGTGACCAACATTTAATGAGAGTAAAACTTAAGTGGCATGTAATGTGGGGAAAGTTAATCTGCTAACTTGAAAATTCGTTAGCAGATACTAACCTATATCTAAAATACATGAAATAATATCCAAGTACTAAAGTATTCAAAGTTTGCTAACTGATATCAGTTTGCTAACTGATATCCACCATGAATCAACTATTATCCCAAATTCACAAACTAATATCTAGACAACACAGAATAGTATTCAAACAACACATAATTAGTATCCAGATAACACATAAGAGTATCCAGATAACCCATTAGAGTATCCATATTGAATACTAGTTGGTTAATTGTGGATATTAGTTGGTATCTGCTATCTGGATACTAATTTGTGATGTTTTGAATACTAGTCTGTACTATCTAGATACTTAGCAGATTTGGATATTAGTTCATACATTTTTAATATTAGTTAGTATATACTAACGAATCTTCAAATTAGCATAATAACTAAGCTGATGTAATGTAATGTAATTAAACCGTGTTTATTAGTGTTTGTCCCACTTTTCTTCTTCTCAAGCTTTTCCTTAAATTTAAGTACAAACACATTTTTAATATTTTCCTCAAACTTCAACCAAAATATCCGTCCAAAACTTACAAATTTTTAAAACTAAACTCATCACACTAAAGAATTTCATTTACAACTTTACCCTTTTAAAAAGGAATTCTTAAAGTTATATTCTTAACAATCATTTCACAAAATCCTCTCACAATTTTGATCTTAATCACACTATTCATCATTTCATGAACTACCTCTCTATTAATAAGAAATTAATCAACTTTCCATCAACGTTACCTTTTGAGCATTTCTATTCGTCGCCCTAAAATATTTTATTCGTCGCCCTAACTTTTATTAAAATTACTCAAATATCCTTGCCTTCTTCTACTCCTCCTTGCCTTCCATCGAGTCTCTTCTCTCTTTCTTATCATCGGGACAGGTCAGGAATTCGTCCCATGCTCGCCGGAGACAGAGTTTCAACACGTCTGGCATCTGGAAAAAAAATAGAAAAAACTAAACCTAAATATTCTTCCTCATTCGTGTCCTTCCTTTTGTTAGGTACAGAAGAATCCGACAGTAGCAGTAGGGAAGCGGCGGTGGGCATTGGGCCGGAGAGAAAATTTCTCAGCATTAGAAGTGTAGGACAGAGGAGGTTAGGCGGCGGCCTCCTTGCGCGTCTGTATACCCTTTTTCCCTTGCTTTCAATTATTCCAACAGTTCTTAATTACTTTTGACTGAGAATTATTCCAACCGTTGCCTGATTTCAGCTTCCATGACAACTGCACAAAGCCAAAAAAAAAAACAAAATTAGAGAAGAATCATCATCACCATCAAAGCTCGTGCAAGGGAACTTGAGAAATAGGCTTACTTTTATTTTGTCATTTTTGGAATTTAGTCATATATACTCTTCTTCCTCCTCCTGCTTGGATCGACTCCGACAGTAGAAGCAAAGCACGGCGGAGATCGGGTTGAGGTGGGCGGCTCCGATAGAAAATTTTGACAGTGACAACAGCGGCCGCAAGACAGAGGATTAGCAGGGATCGGAGGGTAAGAGTGTCAATTTGGTACATTTTAGGGCGATAAAATTTGAATTTTAGGACGACAAATAGCGATTCAGTACCTTTTCTAAACCGTTAACAAACATGTGTTTTCCACCAATTGTGAGGAGTTGAAGATCCACATACTGACATACAAACTTTATTTATTCTGTCAATAATGTAACCACGAAACAAAGTCAAACTCCAGAAAAGAAAAAAAAAACTAGAGGACGACAAAAATAGGACTTTATGGACTACCAAGGCCCGTAACAGATGGGCTTCATGGGACAATATTGTGGGCCCAAAGCTTGGATCCAGTCGCAAGAAGTCCAGGATGTAGCAGCGGAGCACACAAAAATTTGGAGAAGAAGAAGAAGACTTCCCAGAACCGTGTATTTTTTTTTTCCTGGAATATCGGGAGCTGTCTTCTTTTCTCTGTTTCGTGCACCTCCGACCAAATTTTTTTTTTGACAATTATCACGGTGGCCGTACCAGAAATTCGTGACGATTCATCCTTAGGTTGAAGATAAAGCCAGTTCGTCTTCCTTTGGAGTGTAGGCAAAATCGGGACAAATAACGACCATGGCATCAAAATCCTTAGCGCAGAAGATCGGCCCCGCCATGAGGAGGCAGGCCGTGTCGTAACAGACGCGGCGGCGTCGAGGATACGCCAGCTTTTGCAGCAGCGGCAGCGGCCTTTCCTCCGGCTTGGCGTCAAAGCTCGCGGATGCAACGGCTTGTCCTACACGCTCAATTACGCAGGTGCGTTGCTGCTGCCACTCTCCTTCTTCGATCTCCTCTTGTAGCTCTTGCTTTATTTCGCCCTGATCTTAGGTTGCGCTTTAACGTGGTTCCGATATTTTCTACCATTTGAGACAGAAAGTCGAAATTGGTATTGTTGACATGCTCTGGATCTCGCTGTGATATGATGATTATTCTTTTCTTCGGAGAAGGGGGAAATCTATGGTGTAGAATCGAACCTCCCTTTTCTCTACCAATTTCCTTTTATCTGTTGCAGGTCGTCCTGTGGAATTCCTAGAACTAATAGTGAATCATAGATTTGATTTGATGCCTATGTGGAAAACTCATAACTGACTCTTTGATAAATGCAACCACTTGCTCAATGATCAGTTCCTTCTTATTACCTCTGGCTGCTTTGATCGAACAGTTCTTGCTTCCGTGATTAGCTAGGTAATAGTTCATGATATCCTGCTTGCTACCATGGAGATCTGGTCCTTCTTCTGTTTTCCACTGCTGCTGCGCCTTGTATACTTGTGGTTCATGTTCCAACGAAGGAAGTTGCTGAAAATGAAAGGATATATGTTGCTTTGCTTTTTGTTGATAATTCGAACAGACGAGAAAGGAAAATTCGACGAGTTGATTGACGAGAAGGGCGTGAAGGTACTGATTGATCCCAAGGCTCTCATGCATGTGATTGGAACAAAGATGGATTTCGTTGATGACAAACTTAGGTACGCTGTGGGTGTGGATTCCACATACTGCTGCCTCTCCTTGTCTTCCATGTTGCCGGATTTTCCCGCTGGAATTACATATGTATCTGGTTTCCCTTTGTGTGCAGGTCAGAGTTCATATTCATCAATCCAAACTCTCAGGGCCAATGTGGCTGCGGCGAGTCTTTCATGACGACTTCTACCGGCAGTGCCGCACAAGGTACCAGTAGCCGATAGGAGCTTCGATATGGTCGCTGTCAGAGATGCTTACGGTGCGACTATCCTGTCATCTGTAAACTTGTGTGGGTTGTTAGATCGGGGCTCGATATGAAAAACGGTTGGATACATGTAAAGGCAAGTAGTTCTTTGGCTTTGTATGATTCGTCTTGTAAAGGCAAGTTAACTGAACGTGTGTGTAATCATCTCTTCTTTTGCAAGTTATGAGCTGCATCCTCGCTGCAAACTGGAATATATGCATTCCTTCGTTTCCTTTAGCTGCTTGTGTTGGTGCTACACATTTGAAGGCATAATGGAAGAAACCACATTGAGTGATCAGTCTCACATTTGATGTAGCAAGCTGTTTCGTAATTCTAGCATGTCTTTCCTTCCCTCGAGCAAACTTTTGAGTGATTAGTCTCACATTCAAGTAACAATGCGTACGCTGGTCAGACTCGCCTAGTCCATTTTACCCTGCCAGATCACCCGACCTAACTCCAGAAATGAATAATATGAGCAATGGCTAGCAGACACCATTTTAAGCAAACAAGCATCTAACTTATTTTACTTTCCTTTCTCAAAACAAATTCACTAGCTCTATATCCAGTTCTCGATGCACCGCCGCTGGGTGATTAAGCTAACTCCTATGGTGATACAAGTTTCCTTCAAAGTAAAAACTACAATCATTAGCATTTCGAATGAAGCTTAGGCTACATTTCATGCCTTCGACTCTTTGTCCGACCTTCAGAAGCCACCCGTTGTACAACCTCTCGCAATGCATTCACAATGCAAGTGTATTCTCTTCCTTTCGTCATTGATCTGCACCGGATCTCTCCTACAGGTGCACCACCGGCTGCGAAACTTACCCCGCAGGTGCACCGGCTCTCGGCCGCAGACGTCATAAAGGACTCGTAACGGGTTTCCATGTCGCCACCAAGTGATATCACAACGGACAACTGAGGTTCCTTCTCATGAGCCTCAGCCTCTCCCTGGCCTTCTGTGCCTTCGACTGTCCCTTCGTCCTCAGTTCCTCGACATACTGCATCACAACAACCAAACAACCGGATTCACATAACTCGCAACGCGATCAAATCATAAAAACCACAGCACTCGAACAAAGTTCATGAGAAATGTTACCTGTTGCTTTCTTTTCCTTTCTAGCTCAACCTGGTCAACCAACAAAGACAATAACATCAAACAAAGGCCACCACCAAAAAAAATGAAACGGTGATGAAAGATCTTTACCAGTGCTTGCTTGAGCTGCTTGTTCTCGTCTTTCAACTGGTTCAGTTCTGCCTCCAGCTCAACCGTGTAAGCCTGCAATTCAGATGATGATCAGCATACAATCGGAACACAATAATAACAACACACACAACGAACAACCCAAACTCATCAGTCCAAACGCTCACTTGTTTCCTAGCACGGGACCTGGCCGCGGACTCACGATTCTTGATCATCCGCCGCTGCCGCCGCTCAACCACTTTCTCCACCGGCCCATCAATTATTCTCTTACGGCTCCTCAACCCACTCATATCCATCCCGTACTGATTCCCCACCGCATCCACATTCGCCACCATCCCATCCGACGACACTGGACTAACAGGCCCCACCAGTGGAGCCGGCGCATAACCCCCTCCGCCGGCGATTCCATTCCCTACTCTCCCACCGTAAACAGCTGCTGGCGGCGGCGGAGGCTGCTGCGGCGCGTAACCACCGTTCCTTCCGGATGATTCTCCCATGGGCCCACCAGTTTGTGGAAGGACCGACTGGTAATTACCCACCGCCCCACCGCTTCCGATCGACCGGGGAAGAAACCCCGCCGCGACAGCGCCGCCGCCGGACTGGTACATCCCGTACTGCGACTGCTGTTGAGGTGGAAGGAGAGGCGGAGCCGCGGCGGCGGCAGCAGCTGCTGCCCCACATTGTTGTTCCCGAACTACCCCTGCCTTGACCAGAAAATCCTCTAGCGTCATCTCCCCAAAAGTCGGCTGCCGAGGGGTAGAATCGGCATTCCGCACGTTTCCCCGTGAAGAATTGGAATTCCCTTCGCTCTTGGCCGCCTCCGCCGCCGCCTTCGCCTTGTTAATCCTCCCGTTGTGAATCTCCGACCAAACCTCGTCCACCGTCTTCCTGCAGAGCTGCTCCGGGAGAGTGAGCGAGCCTTGCCGCGGCAGGCTAGTCTGCTTGGAGATCCCCCGACCCGGTTCGCCCGAACCCGTCGGGTCCCCGTTGTTGTTGACACCCGCCGACATGGAAATCGCGGGCGGGTTGGAATTATGAACGACGGCGTGTCCGCCGCCCCCTCCGGTGGCCTGATTCTCCTCGGCGGTCCAGATGCTGTTGAGGAACTCGTCCATGTTCATGGAGCCGAAATTTTTGCCGCCCTCGCAGAGGGTGTGCTGGAATTCGTCGAGGGTGAGGGAGAGTAGATGGAGGACTGCCTTCCCAGGGAAGTGAAGGGGATGTTGCTGTCTTGTGTTGTTGTTGTTGGAATTGGAATTGTGGAGATGCAATGGCGACTCCACCACCTCGCCGCGTGAGTTCATTTCTTGGTCTGTTGTTCCCATGGCGGATTCCGGTAGTGCTAGCCTGGAAGAAGGCAGAGGAGGAAGGGAAGCATTTGAGTGAGAAAAAGGTAAAGCGAAACAGAGCGATCTGTTACAGTGGGGGTGGGTGGGTGAAAGGTACGAGGGGGAAGGAAATCAATTCGATGAAGGGGGCATTACATTAGTCTAGAGGGGCGGTGGTGGGCCCATAATGGGCTGTGTGTGGGGTCCAGGTTAAGAAAAGAGTGGCCATAAACCAAAAACAAAAAGCCCAGAAAGGCAGAAGCAAGAGCAGTTGAGAGGAGGATGACGACGCCTAATACCAACTTTTTACCACCAGTGGTGCTTAAAATGTGATTTGATGGTCACTAATAGGGATCATTTATTTAGGGATGCAGCCTCAGAATGCGTGAAAGGGACAATCCCGAGGACGTGATGTTGACAAAACCCGAACCAAACAAAGTACTCTCACCAACAAGCCAAACAAAACTTGCCAAAAGCAAAAAAAATAAATAATAATAATGAAGATATTGAACGGATGAAGGAAAAGCATATGCCCCAACGGGCCCAAACTTGGTTACCTATAGTCTATAGTCTATAGATGTCACTCACTGAAACCCAATATTAGGCGCAATAAGTACAGGCTAACCCAGTTTGAACGGCCCATCCCTACTTGGCACAACACGATTCAATTTATCATAATTAGCTAATCAAAAGCACCAGCCGTGGCTGTGAGTGACATGAATGAATACTTCATTCATTCAAGTTGTGCCGTTACTCTTTCGGTTTTCTGTTGAGGTCTGTAAAATTGGATCGGTGATCGATTTTCTAGGTTTACGAGGTAAAAATTAGACAACAATTATGCGGCCCCTATAGTTGGACTTGGACATGCTTCGTGACCTTTAGATGGGCTAGGAAAGCAGCAAAAGCCAAAAACCCAAGTTCGTTCTTCTTCCTTCCCCCTTGTAGCACTCTACTCTGGCCCGCCCAGTCCAGACTCCCCCCTTTTAAATCTAACCCTAAAATTAAACACCACCATCAAAGCATTGCTCATCAAACCCTAATTAAGAGGCTGACATATATATATAGAACGAGGGCAAAAATATCCGCCCTAAGATCAGTGATTGGATTTGATCATTATATACTATGCTTAACTGAAATGAGCATCAAGCAAGAAATAGAAAAGTCAATCACCTGCTTGCTATAGAGATCTGAAGAGACCAAGTTGGGGAGGAGATAAGAGAGCGAGCTCCGCAGACTAGAACCAGGACAGCAAAGCAAATTTCTTTTTCCACCCCCCAGGAGCTAACTACTTATTAGTGTGTTAGAGACGGCCTCAAAACGGGGAGCGCGTTGGGCCACGCCATTGTTGTTTTGCGGGTTTTGGTTTTGGTTTGGGGTGTAGGAATCTGGGCGGGTGGGGTGACGATGAGGGCGGCAAAGCTTACTTGCAGACAGTGGTTTAGTACACAGCGGCGAGTAGTTTGTGGGTTGGTTGGGGCTGATGTGGAGTGGAGCACTAGTCCTGTATTTGTGTTGCTTAATGTTTGAGGGAGGGCATGGAAGTTGTGAGAATTTTCAATTCCGCCCTCGATGTCGAACGGATGACACGTATCCAACAGGTGCCATCGCCTCCTTAACTGGGGCTGCTGCTGCTTACACGTGGCTTGTTTCTTATTTTTCTTCCATTTCCGCCTCCTCTTTCCTTTGCCGCGGCGCTGCTTTCGCTTTTTTTTTTTTTTTTAATCTTTTACTCTCAATCCACCAATGTCTGTTTTTCTTGTGATTTTCCTAATTTCTTTTTTGTTATGTCGAGATCAGGAGTGGTAAATGGTTAGTCAGTTATTGGTTTTATCGATGACCACATCGATAACTACATACTACAGCTAATGGTTGATCGATAATCGTCAAATTTTTTAGTGGTTCGATTTTGGTTAGTTGTTTTCCTTAACGGTGTTTCGGCCCGTAAGAAAATGGTCAACTTATGACTTCGTTGAGTGGGTTTGTCGTGTGCATACTAGGCCCAGCATGGAGCCAAATCACTCGAGTTTGAGATAGAGGCCGGATCAGACCCCAATAAATCTCATTGAGTTTATTTTTTAGGGGTCGTTTGTGAACTGACGGAAAATTCTTGATCTTCTCATTACTGATTAAAGTCATTTATATACAATTAAGGGTGGCAGAACGATTTTTGGTTAGCAGTTAACCGGACGGTTTCAACCAAACCGACCGGTCGTCCTCAATTCTCGTCGGTCAGTCGTCGGAGGAAAGGAGAAGAGGCTCGGCTAGCCGATTAAACGTGGTCAAAAACCGACGGTTAACCGGCTAACCGACCTCTTCCCTTTACCCCAAAACGATCTGCACCCCGCCCAAAATGAACCCGCTCCAACCCCACCCAAAATGACCCATAGCCCCATCACAAGAAACCCTAATATCCAAATCTGTTCTCCCACTCCCCAGCCACTCCAGTCAGCCACCCCTTCCGTACCAGCCACCCTCGTCGCGACGCCGCCCCTCCACGGCTCCACCAGCCACCGGCGCCCTCTCCCGCCGTCTCCCACCCGCCACCCTCGTCGACCTCAACAACAGCAGCATAAGACCTCCGCGGTGCCGACCGCACGCCGCTGCCGCTTCTAAAAAAAAATGATGTGATGCATTATCAATTGGTTTGAGAATATGTTGTTTTTTTTGTTTTGTTTTTTTTTTTTGGATTTTGCTCTGGGCTCATTTAAATTGATCACCCACAAGAACTTGTGTCATTGTTTCTTGTAGCATTGATCCTCAGTTGTGCTCAATAGTGCGAGCTCTTAATCAGACACCTTCGGGCTCCTTGTTGTCCAAGACAGGGTTCTTCGATTTCATTAATGTAGTGTAGCATGCCCCTTCTGTCATGGACGGCAACTGATTGGTTGAACGCAGTCAAAGGTGCTCTCAAGATCTTTGAGATTTCTAAACTGTTGAGTTGAAAGGTTGGGTACTTTGGCTTGCGTGCATTTAATAATGCTTCTCCTTCTAGGTTACACTATTCTTACTTCCAGATATCTGTCGTTCACTTTCTATTCTATGGAATGAAGGGTGACTTTATCAACCTTAACTGAAGATTAGTGCAAAAATGTATGAAAAATGTGATTGGAAAAGTATCATGGGAACTTGTTGAAATTTGAGAAAAGTGTGTAAGAATTGGATACAATTTTGTGTGGTAATTTCATGTGGCTAAAATATTTTTGAATTTTTCAATGAGAAGGGAGCAAGTAAAGCCATGAGAAAATCCAAAAGCACTCACTCTACTCTCATTTTCGACGTCATGCTCGGATTCACTCTCACTCATTCCTAAGGGTGCTTTGAGCATATGACATTTCAGCTACCATTAAAATTCGGGTCACTATGAGAGGCCTTCTTTTATGTTAATGGTCAAATATGTTCGGGGTAATGGCTTTTTCAAATGAGGAAATTCTTACGAAGTCTGATTTTGGTATTGTGAAGTTTCTTGTAAGGGATGTTGGCTTGCCCCCGGGGTATTAGGTTAAATGATGGCTTAGAGTGATCCTAATGGCAATTATCATGGTTTTCCTCGAGCCTTGTCTTGAGATTTTAGGATGTGGGGTCAGGTCGTGAATAAATGAGGTCTTTGTGAAAGTGAATTTGGTTATGGGAAGTCACATCACATAGGTTCTTTGCTTAAGATTTTCTGTAGGTATTAGCCGACAAACATTTTGATTTGCCGTGACTGGTTGACTTCAAATGCTAATGAAGGGGCCTTTAACATGTAAATCCCACAACAATTTTTCTTTTTCTTTGCTTTTTTTATTTGCTTTGCTTTTTTTGTCGTGGGACTTACTTAACTTGGTTGTGGCACAGAATATGCTTCCCTTATTCTCCCCTCTAACATTTGTATAACTAGACAGAAGTATCAAAAGGTTAGTACTTCACAATGTAAGTGTATTTTCTCGTTGGATTGGCTGGTTGGTTACTCCTCTCTCGAAGAAGCAAAACTTCTAATGCCATTGGGCTTATTTGAATTTTTTTCCTTGATTAGCTTCATATGTATTTGGATCCCAATTCACTAGCGAAAGCTGGCAATGATGGTGACGAGATTCTACAAGTAGCCTGATGTCATACGCTCGTTACACCTTTTGACTACTCACTCACACGATTCGTGTACACCCAATGGGGTGTTTACACTCTTAGTTCTGGCGTAGTGTGCACATTCTTAACACAATGGGGTGCTTATAATCGCTCAACACCAGTGGGGTGCTCAAATTTGATGGCAATCTCATGGCTTAACTTGGAAATAAAACTAGTTTGGATGGTTTGCATCAAATTTAAAGAAATTGGGAATAACATTCGTCATTTGGGCAATGAAAAACCATTGATGCAAACTTCTATATTAAGAGTGATAATAGTCACAAAACATTCCAAAGAAGTCTAAAGGTGGAAATCTTATTATTTAATGATGAAAGCAAAGGCGATACATCTATTGTTAAGGAAATTAGCTCGATAAGTTTATTTACGTAATAGGACCAACATCATCCTTGAATCGAGCATTGCTTTATAGTACGCCTACTACTTCCCATGAGCCGGCAGTGGATTATTGTTTATGTTTGGGCGTTTTGACTCCTCTTCAAATTTCAACCAACCGGCATTGATCATCTGTTGCACCTTTATCTTCAATGTCCTGCAAGCTTCGGTCGAGTGGCCAGGGACTCCAGAATGATAAGTGCAATGTTCTCCTGGCTTGTACCACGGTGGAAATGGAGGTTGCATAGGCTCAGATGGGACCGGGGAAATTAGATGACTTTGGAGCAGTTGTGGGAAAAGTTCAGTGTACGTAATAGGAATAGGATCAATTTGGATGGTGTTTTTGTATCTCCCAGAATTGTTCTGGTCTTGGTTATTTGGTGGTGGTGCCACTGGTGATTGAGTAGGGAAATTCGGACGTTGAGTAATCAATGCGGTATTTGAAACATAGGGATTAGCTTGATTTTCTTGAGGTTGGTGATTCCACCTTCCTCTTCTGGATGAGTCTTCTTGAGCAGAATGAATCTCTCCATCTCCCCTTCGAGTTTGGTATGGTTTCTTTGAGGCTTCCGGACTTTCCATCCGGCCTTGCTTCAATCCCTTTTCAATTCGCTCTCCAATTACTAGCAAGTCCGCAAAGTTGGTTGTGGTAATTCCCACCATGTTGTTGTAATACGGAACCCTCAATGTTCCGAAGAAGATTGACACCATTTCCTTTTCTGACAGTGGGGGTTGAACATCTGCCGCCTTCTCCCTCCATCTATGAGCATACTCTCTGAATGATTCTTTCTCATTCTTTTCCATATTACGTAGATCCTCCCGATCTGGGGCCAAATCCTGGTTATGCTTGTAATGCCTCATGAATGCATCGGCTAGGTCTTGCCACCTTTTCACTTTCGTTTTCTCTAATTGCATATACCATCTCAGCGCGGAGCTGCTCAAGCTATTTTGGAAGCAATGTATCATCAACCTTTCATCACGAATATAGTTAGCCATTTTATTACAAAACATGACTAGATGGCTTCTTGGGCAAGTAGTGCCATTGTATCTTTCAAATTCAGGCATTTGAAATTTATGAGGAATTATGACATCTGGGACTAAACATAGTTGCGATGCATCCATAGGCTCATAGGATTCAAATCCTTCTATGCTTCTTATTCGTTCATTCATGTGTTCCAATTTTTCTTTCAGCATAGCATCAACCCCATGTTCCTCCTGTTTCTCAGTCTCTTCTAATTTGTCATGCTTTGGTTGTCCTATGCCATCTTCGTCACATGTGTTCTTTGAAGGTATGAGAATAAATTTACTACCCGAGGCATCTCCTTTAGGTGGTTCATAGTGATCTTCTTCGTCGAATATGGCTTCTTCTTCGTTGGTTGCAACCCCTTTTCCTTTTCCTAACAGTATGCTCAAAATTGTGCTGAGTTGACCTTTCATCTCATCAAAACCCGCCAATTTTTCATCAAATCCCGTCAGTTTCTCATCAAACCCTGTTAGCTTCCCATTGATGTCGTTTATCTCTTTCTGAAATGCCTCCATGAAGACCTTGAGTTTTGATCTAGTGAAGTGCTTAGAAGACTGACTTTTTCCTGGTAGGCGAGCAATTTTAAGGAACCCTGACAAATTTATTGTTGTTAAATGGTTTTGTCCATATGATGTTATGATGCTAAATAATGTGACTGTGTAAATGCAAAGATGACTTTAATGGATGCATGTGCTTTATCTTTTATGATTTTGAATAGGATGAATGCTAATGTCATGAATTTAGAAAAACTTATATTTGCATAATAAAATCACATTATTTATGAGTAATCAATAATGCACAAATTATCACATCACAAGCAAACATATATCTGAATTAAAAACAATTCTCTAATTAAATAAACATAAAATGTTATGGAAGATTAGACGATAAGGTTTATACGAGATGGTGTTGGGCGGCTGGTAAGCTTACTAAATGGTTGGTAAGGTCGTAAGGATATCTAGGAAATTACCCAAGTTGTATCCTACTATTGCTCTTTCAAGCTTAGCTGGATACCTCAAATCAACCTCGGATTTGAGTTCAACTTGGTTAGAAAGTTTCGCGTTATTCCTCTACTATTGTAGAGGTAACGTTACTCCGTTCCCTTAGAGGTAGAGCTCGGGTATAGAGCTTTGATGTATGAATGTAAATAATTAAATACGAGTTAAATTAAATGCAAAAACAATATAAAAAACACCCAACACGTTAAAGATGGTAAGGGAAGCTTATCGATTTAATATTATAGATCGACTCTCAAAGTCCCCAGCGGAGTCGCCACTGTCGCAACCGCCCCTCCGAAATCGGGGGACCCGCTGCGAACTGATCGGAGTCGCCATCGACCTTAGTTGCGGTGGATCGAACACCTTTGGTCCGGTCTCAACCTTAGGATCGAAACCGGGATTTGGTCTGCGAAATTTTAGATTTGGGCTCGGGAGTACTGTTACATGTGGGGAAGTGTATTCACTCCCCACAACGCCCAAAATTGGCACTACTTAATCGATAAGTTTTTTTAAGAAAAGTGGGTGTATTACTATTTGGCTTCATTTATGTATTTAATTTTAAGAATCAATTAATTAGGTATTTATTAATATACAATTTGACCATACATCTATTGAGTAATTCTAAAATTAAAGAAAAAGTTTTAAATTAGTTGGATTTTACATCTATTGACGTGCATCAATAAAAGAATGAAAAAAGTTTTTATTTAGTTCAATAATTGAAATAATTTACGAAGTGATCTCAACAAGTTCTATTGATCTTGATTAAGTTGCTAATTTGAATTTGTAGAAAAATGTATACTAGTAATTGGCTGATAACTTTTAAATAGTTTCTTCATAAAACGACTATTGAAACCTATTGATCATAGCCTCTACTTTAATAAATCGTACCAAAGTGAATTAAGAGCATAAATTTGAGTGAGTTAGCCTAATGGCTAAACGTGTTGGCTATAGAACCATGGGAGCACCTGGCCCGGGTTCGATGCACGCCTCTGTTGCTTTTTAGTTGATTTCGTATTTAGAAGGAGAAGGTGGCAGGACACAGTTTTGATGAAAAAACGAGGGCAAAAGGGTCATTTTGCAAAAACGAGAATAAAGTAGCAGATGGTAACCCTAGCCGCTACGTTTTGTTCATTCTCTTCTCTCAATCTCTCTCTTATTCGCCCCCTTCCTCTGAAACACGAACAACCGAAAAACGAAAACAAAACTCCTCTTTCTCCCTCTCTCAATCTGTTTTCTTTTCTGAAAATCGAACTGAGGAAGAACCTAAAAGGAATCGATATCATAATCCCTCTGCCTCTTCTTCTCTTCTATCGCCGAACACAAGAAATGGCTAGGACTGCCCCAGATTGACCAAAAAATGGCGATCCAGATAAGTTTTTGGCTTGCATGTGGGTTTCCTTTTGGTTTCTGTCTAGTAATGGTGTTCTGATTCTTCTGGGTTTTGGCTTTGGATGAAGGGAGAAGGAAAGGGCTCGCTGCCGGTGACTAGGTCGGGAGACAAACGACGGTAAACCTTGGGGGTTATTTCTCGGTTTCGATTCTTCTATCTTTGGTTTAGTAAAATACTGACCCCTTCTTTCTCCATTTTCGTAGGTTAGAAAAAGAGGCCAGATCTGGGTGAGGTTTCTCCCTACTCTTATTTTGGTTTCAATTAACCTTTGGTGGTTCTAATTAGATTAGGAAATTTGTGATTGATGCTCCTGAGTTGGGATTGGGGTCTGGCGTTTGTGGGTGATTTGGATATGAATATATGACTTTGAGGTTTGGTGGATGATGGCTGTGTTGGTCTGAATCTGGTGTTTGAGGTTTATTTGGTGTGATTTTGTGTTGAATGAATGGTTTGGGAGCTTAGAGGTTACGGTTATGGTGAATATGTTTTTTTATTCCATATGCATGATTATCATATTTTTATCTATGTACTAGAAAATGAAGGAATGAAAATACGAGATAAATAAAGGAATGGTAAAGGAGAGAAAGTAAATAGCATAGTAAATAGCTATACTAGGTAATAATAATTTTAAGCTTAACTAATCAATAGAAAATTAGCTATTGTAGGTTGACATAGATAATAAAGTAACTGAGTTTGGAAGAAATAAATAATGGAACTGAAAGTAGAATATAATTTGAAATGACAAACTAATACAGTAAATCTGATAGTGATTAGTTTTGAATTTTGATTAGCCTTTTAAATCAATTGGGTCATGTTGTAGTTTGATTGGAGCTGATTAAACTTTCTTCTTTAAAAGCGTTGTATGTAAATGGTAATAGTGATGATTATGGACGATAATAGTAATAACAATAATATAGAGTTAGTTTTGACAAAAAGGGAAGAGTGGGAAAAGAGAATGAAAGAGCAGTAAAGGAGTCGTATATTATTAGAACTGGAACCTGGGTTTGGTTGATTACAGACTTGATGGGCTTCTGTTTGCTTAGAGGCCTTTTACTTCTATTTGACAGAAAATAAAGAAGGAAAAGAAAGTGTTTTGTATTTCTCTTTTATATTTTCCCCAGCACTTCCCCTCTCTAACTGACTAAGAAGAAGAAAAAGAACTATGAACTGATTGAAAGAAAGGAATGACAGTGTTTCCCCAGTATTTCCCTCCTGAAAAGCTGCCCCCTTCTCTTGAAAATTGAGCCTGCTTTTATAGAAAAAAGGGGCGGTGGTTTCTGGGTTTGGTCGGACCAGTTCTGGTTCGACCAGTCCGTCTGTTGGTTCGGGTCGTTGGGCTGGTTCGGGTTGCTGGGGTTGGGCCTTGCATCTGGACTTGACCATCATTAACTTTGGGCTGAGTTTGCTTTAGGTTAGGACCTAAATTTCAGACTGGAAATCTGGGCTTGAACTGTGGGCTTGTCTTAATCTGGGCCTCATCTGACTTGGCTCCTTTCTTGTTGTTTGGCAGATCCATTGCTGGCTTTAAAAAGAGATGGAAGAAACATGTATTGATTGTAATTTTCATGTAGTAATTCTTATTTGTAATTTGTATTCTGATTGTAATTGTATAATTTATTGATAATTTAAATAAAACTTTAATCTTCTTCTGTATTTTCTGTGTTGGGCCAAAAGCGTAAATTGGAAGCCAATCGGTCCTATTAATCCATTCGAATCGAATTTGAATAAATTATACAATCGTCGATATTTTAGACTCGTAATGGCCAATCTAATTATCTTACGACATTTAAAGATTAATTAGAATTTTTATGGCCAATCTAATTATCTTACGACATTTAAAGATTAATTAGAATTTTTAGTTGAGTAATTGACCCGGACAAAATGGGGTGTCTATACACCATTCAGCTTGAAACCGTTTGTCAGCTGCAGAAAACGGGAAAGGTGTGCCCGGGCTTCCTCATCCTTCAAGCCATGGAACTGGATAGAGGATGTGATGAGCTGAATCCAGCCTGGCTTGATCTCAAAGTTATTTGCTGGGATGGGCGGATAGAGGATGACCGGGCGGATGTCAGCAATCCGTGGAGTGTAGTAGTACTCCAAGGTGGGACCCGGCGGTGGTGGTGGATGCTGATTCACCGGGGGAACCTGTCGAGCATTCCCCGGTTGTGGAATGTCTTCGCCCTCCATCTCGTACTCTTCCTCAGAATCGCTGGTCAAGTGGCCGTCAATGCGCTCTCCCGTAACCAGTCTAGCTCGCTGCTGTCTCCTAAGTTGGCGGCAAGTGCGTTCAAGCTCTGGATCCAACGGCAGTAAACCTCCTGACTGGCTACGGGTCATGCACTACCTGCACACACTCAAGCAAGCAAACCCGTGAAGGCACAAGTGGGACAAAGCAAAAACTCAATGCAAAAATGAAAATGCTAAAGTAACAGAAATCACTTTTCTTCAACAACCTAGCCGTTCCCCGGCAACGGCGCCAAAAACTTGACTCACTCCTACTGTCACCCTAGAAAATGGCCAAGTATAACCAATTCCTAAAGCGTAGTATAGCGGGTCGGGTTTTAATGTCAACCCGGGTCCTAGATGTGATGACTACTCGGTGAATTCTTGTTATTTAGCAGTGAACTTTTAGTGAAACTGAAGCAAACAAAACACAAAGCAAGTAAACGGTTTGTTGTCAAGTCAAGAGAGGTCACCCGGATATGGTTTCCCCCTAGACTGCAGTTAAGTCGGATTGCATTTTACCAAGTTCAGTTTTCATGAAAATTATACTGCGGAAGGTTCTCAATTAGCCTGAAGTATCGACTAAAGGTCTCCAGACCCTCTCAATCTGAGTCTCTAGCGGGCGACTAACCTCCACCGGAGTAAACAGATTGAGGCCCTAATGAACCAAACCTCCACTACCGAATCGACTTCGGTACAGAATAGCGAATTGGCTCCTCGACTAAAGTCACCAATTCGCCACCTTCGATTAAGGGTACTCTATCAACCTAGGCAGATATTCTCATTCCAGGTTAAAGCAGAAACAACAGGAATTTGATCAGGATTCAAGTCATTCAATCAATCAAACCTCAATCGAATATAATCAATTCACAAACACTGTACTTGGGTTCATACAATCAGACCTAGCATACAAATCTAGGGTTCTCCATACCCAGATGAATGGGGAAACTACTCCATAGAGAAAGAAGCAAAAGCAGATTCAGACACGGAAATCATACTGTGAAGTTGGATTCCTGCTTCTGGACGTTTAATCGCACTTCTCCAAGCTCAAGACGGGCTCCAATGGTGTTGAAGATCGATCTATGGCGCTTGAGAACTCTGGTTCGACGCTTTCTCTCTCTAGGTATCGGTTTCTCTCTCAAAAACTCGGAACCCTCTGAAAATTGGCCTTCTTCCTCTTTTAGCAGCTGCCTGTCGCGATACCCGGTCAAAATACCCGGTCGGGTATTTTATGGTTCGACCGGGTATTTTATGAAACGCACCGTCTGACTAAGGGAAAAATCCCCGGTCTACCACCAAAATCCCCGACCGGGGATTTATCGCCATCGCCCGGGCCCCCTTCTGCTTCTCACGGGTGCCCGAAGGAGGAAATACCCGGTCGAGTCCAGAATATACCCGGTCGGGTATTTCTTCCTTTGACCGGGTATTTTGGTCCAGCAGCATCCTTTGTCCAATCTTCGCTCCTTTCGATCCAGAACTCGTTCCTTCGCCTCGATTCCAACGCCAGGACCTGAAATATGACATAAACACACAACCTAGCGTAAAATCGGCTTAAAATACGAGATTCCTCATCACAAACGACTTCAGAATAGGGGTGAAAACATATATAATTATCGGTCTATCAGTCGCCTTCCATCTCGTACTCGTCCTCGGACTCGCTGCTCAAATGGCCGTCTATGCGCTCTACCGTAGCCAGTCTAGCTCGCTGTTGTCTCCTAAGTTGATGGCAAGTGCGTTCAATCTCTGGATCCAACGGCAGTAAACCTCCCGACTGGCTACGGGTCATGCACTATCTGCACACAATCAAGCAATGCAAACCCGTGAAGGCACAAGTGGGAAAGAACAAACACTCAATGTGAAAATGAAAATGCTAAAGTAACAGAAATCACTTTTCTTCAACAATCTAGCCGTTCCCGGCAACGACGCCAAAAACTTGACTCACTCCTACTGTCACCCTAGAAAATGGCCAAGTATAACCACTTTCTAAAGCGTAGTATAGCGGGTTTGGGTTTTAATGTCAACCCGGGTCCTAGATTTGATGACTACTCGGTGAATTCTTGTTATCTAGCAGTGAAACTTTAGTGCAAGTCCAAATTAACAAACAAACAAAGTAAGTTAAACGGTTGTTTTCAAGTCGAGAGTGGTCACTCGGATATGGTTCCCCCTAGACTGCAGTTAAGCCGGATTCCAATTTACCAAGTTCAGTTTTCATGAAAGTTATACTGTAGAAGGTTCTAAAACAGTCTGAAGTCTCGACTAAAGGTCTCCAGACCCTCTCAATCTGAGTCTCCAGCGGGCGACTAACCTCCACGGGAGTAAACAGATTGAGGCCCTAACGAACCAAACCTCCACTACTGAAGTAAATTCGGTATAGAATAATGAAATGGCTCCTCGATTAAAGTCACCAATTCACTACCTTCAACTAAGGGTGCTCTATCAACCTAGGCAGATATTCTCTTTCTAGGTTAAAGCAGAAACAACAGGAATTTGATCAGGATTCAAGTCATTCAACCATTCAAACCTCAATCGAATATAATCAATTCATAAACTCTGTACTTGGGTTCATACAATCAGACCTAACATACAAATCTAGGGTTCCCCATACCCAGATGGATGGGGAAACTACTCCATGGAGAGAGAAGCAAAAGCAGATTCAGACGCGGAAATCATACTGTGAAGGATGGATTTCTGCTCCTGGACGTTGATCGGCACTCCTCCAAGCTCAAGCCAAGCTCCAATGGTGATGAAGATCAAGCTAGGGCACTTGGGAACTCTTGTTCGTCGCTTTCTCTCTCTAGGAATCGCTCTGTCTCTCTAAAACTCGGAACCCTTGAATTTTGGCCTTCTTCTCCTTTAAATCTGCTGTCTGTCGCGATACCCGGTTGAAATACCCGGCCGGGTATTATTGGTCATGGTCGGGTATTTTTTTCCTCCAGCACACTTCAAGCCTCACTTGCTCCTTTCGACCCGAATCTCGTTCCTTCGCCTTGATTCCAACGCCGGGTCCTGAAATGTGACATAAACGCACAACCTAGCGTGAAATCGGCTTAAAATACGAGAATCAATATCTCAAACGTCTCAAGAATAGAGGTGAAAACATGTGTAATTATCAGTCTATCATATACAAAATGAAGTACCAAATAAAAGTTAAGATTTTAATAAACAAGCTAGCTCGAGCTCGACTCGACTCGGCTCGTTTATTAACGAGCCAAGCTCAAGCTGGGGTAAAACTCGACTCGACTCGGCTCATTTGCAGCCCCTAACGGTGAATCATGTTTCCCAATTTCAGCATTCACCCACTGATGCTCACTGGTCGGCTGTGAAGCGTATCATGCAATATATCCAATGCACTCTCACCAAAGGTCTTCTCTTCCAACGGGTTGCCCAACCACAGCTCCATGACTACTCAACGCGTCATTTGCGTCCTGTCCACAGGATCGTAAATTTATCACTAGGTATGCAGTCTACTATGGTCCCAATTTGGTTTCCTGGTCCACGAGGAAACAAAAGGTAGTGGCTCGTTCTTCTACGGAATGTGAGTATAAGGCACATGCTACATTAGCTTCAGAGGTAATTTGGATTCAATCTTTGCTGTCGGAGCTTGGTCACAGTTGTTCCCATTCCCAAGTTCTATGGTGTGATAATCTGGGCGCCACTTACTTGGCACACAATCCTGTTTTTCACACACGTTCAAAGCATCTGGATATAGAATTCCACTTCGTACGTGACAGAGTCAACATAAACTAGCTCCATGTTCGCTATCTTCCGGCTACCGATCAAATTGCAGATGTTCTCACCAAACCGCTCACACGCTTGCCATTCCGCAAGTTTTGCTCCAAGTTTCACCTCTCCGAGGTTCCACTTGCGGGGGCGTGATAGAAGATAATTATCTCCTTGTATTTAGGCTTGGAAACAGTAATAAATACTCTGTTTTTCTGTTCCTGTATTCCTGCCTGTATTCCTCCTTTCTAGCTTTCAGTTTCACCACTTAGCTTAGGATTCAGATCACTCCATGTATTGTATATAAATGACTTTCATTAGTAATGAGAAGATCAAGAATTTTCTGTCAGTTCATGGTATCAGAGCCTATACAGTCTAACAGCTTCTAATCATCTTCTTCTCCCCCAATTCCCCCCCCCCCTCTTCTCTTCATCTGTTCCCCATGTTGACCACTTCGACCACTTCCTCTTTTCATGCTCCTTCTACCCACTCCGTATCTCCACCCCATCTCACTCTTCCTTCTAATCCGCAATTGACCGTCAAGCTCACTCCCATGAATTACCTGCTTTGGAAGGCGCAACTCCAGCCTCTGCTCCGTTGTCATCGACTTATCAGTCATGTTGATGGCACCATCCCTGTTCCGCCACCACTGATTGATGCACAACCCAATCCGGCCTATAATGACTAGTATGAGCGTGATCAGCTTGT